TTCATATCCCGCCAAACTGAGCTTCATAAGTGAAGGAAAAATAAAATCCTTTGCAAACAAGCAAGTACTCAGAGATTTTTATCACCACCAGGCCTGCTTTACAAGAGCTCCTGAAAGAGGAACTACACATAGAAAGGAACAACCAGTACCAGCCATTCCAAAAACATACCAAATGCTAAAGAGCATCAACAAAATGAAGAATCTGCATCAACTAACGGGCAAAACAGCCAGCTAGTATCAAAATGGCAGTATCAAATTCACACAAAACAATATTAACCCTAAATGTAAATGGGCTAAATGCACCAATCAAAAGAACAGACTGGCAAATTGAATAAAAAACCAAAACCCATCAGTGTGCTGTATCCAGGAGACCCATCTCACTTGCAAGGATACACAAAGGCTCAAAATAAAGGGATGGAGGAAGATTTACCAAGTAAATGGACCGCAAAAAAAGCAGGAGTTGCGAATCCCATCTCTGAAAAAATAGACTTTAAAGCAACAAAGATCAAAAGAGACAAAGAAGGTTATTACATAATAGTAAAAGGATCGATACAACAAGAAGAGCTAATGATCCTAAATATATATGGACCCAATACAGGAGCACCCAGATATATGAGGCAAGTTCTTAACGAATTACAAAGAGACTTAGACTCCCATACAATAATAGTGGGAGACTTTAACACTCCACTGTCAATATTAGACAGATCAACCAGGCAGAAAATTTAACAAGGATATCTAGGGCCTGAACTCAGACCTGGAACAAGCAAACCTGATAGACATCTACAGAACTCTCCACCCCAAATCCATAGAATATACATTTTTCTCAGCACCACATCACACCTACTCTAAAATTGACCACATAATTGGAAGTAAAGCACTGCTCAACAAATGCAAAACAACTGAAATCATAACAGTCTCTCAGACCATAGTGCAATCAAGTTAGAACTCAGAATTCAGAAACTAACTCAGAACCACACAGCTTCATGGAAACTGAACAAGTGGCTCTTGAATGTTGACTGGATAAACAATGAAATGAAGGCAGAAATAAAGAAGTTCTTTGAAACCAACAAGAACGAAGACACAACATACCAGAATCTCTGGGACACATTTAAAGCAGTCTCCAGAGGAAAATATATAGCAATAAGTGCCCATATGAGGAGAATGGAGAGATCCAAAATTGACACCCTATTGTCAAAATTGAAAGAGCTAGAGGAGCAAGATCAAAAAAACTCAAAACCTAGAAGAAGACAAGAAATAACTAAGAGCAGAACTGAAGGAGATAGAGACACAAAAAACCCTTCAAAAAATCAATAAATCCAAGAGCTGGTTTTCTGAAAAGATCAACAAAATAGACAAACCACTAGCCAGACTGATTAAAAAAGAAAAGAGAGAACAACAAAATAGATGCAATAAAAAATGATAAAGGGGAAATCAGCACAGATTCCACAGAAATTCAAACCTTCATCAGAGAATATTATAAACTAGTAAACCTGGAAGAAATGGATACATTCCTAGACACCTGTGTTCTCCCAAGCCTAAACCAGGAGGAAGCCGAAACTATGAATAGACCAATAACAAGGTCTGAAGTCAAGGCAGCAATTAAGAGCCTACCACACAAAAAAAGCCCAGGTCCAGATGGGTTCACAGCCGAATTCTACCAGACACACAAAGAGGAACTGTTATCATTCCTTCTGAAACTCTTCCAAATAATCCAAAAAGAGGGTATCCTTCCCAAATCACTTTATGAGACCAACATCATCCTGATACCAAAACCCGGCAGAGACTCAACAAGAAAAGAAAACTTGAGGCCAATATCCATGATGAACATAGATGCAAAAATCTTCAATAAAATACTGGCAAGCCAATTGCAACAGCACATCAAAAAACTTATCCACCATGATCAAATAGGATTCATCCCGGGGATGCAAGGCTGGTTCAACATACGCAAGTCTATAAACGTAATTCACCACATAAACAGAACCAAAAAAAAAAACCCACAATTGTCTCAATTGATGCAGAGAAAGCATTTGACAAAATTCAAGAGCCCTTTATGCTAAAAACCCTCAATAAACTCGGTATTGATGGAAGGTATCTCAAAGTAATAAAAGCTATTTACAACAAACCAACAGCCAATATCATACTGAATGGGCAAAAACTGGAAGCATTCCCTTTGAAATCTGTCACTAGACAAGGATGCCCTCTTTCACCACTCCTATTCAATATAGTACTAGAAGTTCTAGCCAGAGCAATCAGGCAAGAAAAAAAAAAAATAAAGGGTATTCAAATAGGAAAGGAGGAAGCCAAATTGTCTCTATTTGCAGACAACTTGAGAGTATACCTAGAAGACCCCATCCCCTCAGCCCAAAAACTCCTGAAACTGTTAAGCAACTTCAGCAGAGTCTCAGGATATAAAATCAATGTGCAAAGATCACAAGCAATCCTATATACCAATAACAGACTTAAAGAGAGCCAAATCAAGAATGAACTGCCATTCACACTTGTTACAAAAAGAATAAAATACCTAGGAATACAACTTACAAGGAACGTAAGGGACCTCTTGAAGGAAAACTACAAACCACTGCTCAACGAAATGAGAGGACACAAACAGATGGAGAAACATTCCATGTTCATGGTTAGGAAGAATCAATATCGTGAAAATGGCTATTTCCCAAAGTAATTCACAGAATTAATGTTATCCCCATCAAGCTACCATTGACTTTCTTCACAGAACTGGAAAAAAACCACCATAAACTTCATATGGAACCAAAAGAGAGCCTGCATAGCCAAGTCAATTTTAAGCAACAAGAACACAGCAGGAGGCATCACACTACCGGACTTCAAACTATACTACAAGGCTACAGTAATCAAAACAGCATGGTACTGGTACCAAAACAGAGATACAGACCAATGGAACAGAACAGAGGCATCGGAGGCAACACAACATATCTACAACCATACAATCTTGGATAAACCTGACAAAAACAAGCAATGGGGAAAGGACTCCCTATTTCATAAATGGTGTTGGGAAAACTGGCTAGCCATGTGCAGAAAGCAGAAACTGGACCCCTTCCTGACACCTTACACTAAAATTAACTCCAGATGGATTAAAGACTTAAACATAAGACCTGGCATCATAAAAACCCTAGAAGAAAATCTAGGCAAAACCATTCAGGACATAGGAGTAGGCAAGGACTTCATGAACAAAACACCAAAAGCATTGGCAGCAAAAGCCAAAATAGACAAATGGGACCTAAACAAACTCCACAGCTTCTGCACGGCAAAAGAGACAGTCACTAGAGTGAATCAGCAACCAACAGAATGGGAAAAAATTTTTGCAGTTTATCCATCTGACAAAGGGCTGATATCTAGAATTTGCAAAGAACTCAAACAGATTTACAGGAAAAAAACAAACAAGCCCATTCAAAAATGGGCAAAGGATATGAACAGACACTTTACAAAAGAAGACATACATGAGGCCAACAAACATGAAAAATGCTCATCACCACTGGTCATTAGAGAGATGCACATCAAAACTACATTGAGATACCATCTCACGCCAGTTAGAATGGTGATCATTAAAAAATCTGGAGACAACAGATGCTGGAGAGGATGTGGAGAAATAGGAACACTTTTACACCGTTGATGGGAGTGTAAATTAGTTCAACCATTGTGGAAGACAGTGTGGCGATTCCTCAAGGCCTTAGAAATAGAAATTCCATTTGACCCAGCAATCCCATTACTGAGTATATATCCAAAGGACTATAAATCAGTCTACTATAAGGACACATGCACACGAATGTTAATTGCAGCACTGTTTACAATAGCAAAGACCTGGAACCAACCCAAATGCCCATTGATGATAGACTGGACTGGGAAAATGTGGCACATATACACCATGGAATATTATGCAGCAATCAAAAGTGATGAGTTCGTGTCCTTTGTAAGGACATGAATGAATCTGGAGAACATCATTCTCAGCAAACTGACACAAGAACAGAAAATGAAATACCACATATTCTCACTCATAGGGGGGTGAGGAAAAATGAGAACACATGGACACAGGGAAGGGGATACCACACACTGGGGTCTATTGGGGGGAATAGGGGAGGGACTGCAGGGTGGGGAGTTGAGGAGGGATAGCCATATGTGGGTGAAGGGGAGGAAGGCAGCAAAACAGACTGCTATGTGTGTACCTATGCAACTATCTTGCACATTCTGCAAATGTACCCCAAAACCTAAAATGCAATAAAAAAAATACCGCATATTCTCACTCATAGGCGGGTGATGAAAAATGAGAACACATGGACACAGGGAAGGGAGTACTACACACTGGGGTCTATTGAGGGGAGGGACAGCGGGGGCGGGGAGCTGGGAAAATGAAATACCACATATTCTCACTCATAGGGGGGTGAGGAAAAATGAGAACACATGGACACAGGGAAGGGGATACCACACACTGGGGTCTATTGGGGGGAATAGGGGAGGGACAGCGGGGGCGGGGAGCTGGGAAGGGATAGCCTGGGGAGAAATGCCAAATGTGGGTGAAGGGGAGGAAGGCAGCAAAACACACTGCCACGTGTGTACCTATACAACCATCTTGCATGTTCTGCACATGTACCCCAAAACCTAAAACGCAATTAAAAAAATAAAATAAATAAATAAATAAGAGCCAGCACAACTAGATTAAAAAAAAAAAAGATTCGATTTCAGCCTCAGATATATCTTGGGGGGAGCACTGACACTGCGGACTGCCTCCTCTCCAAAAATCCCTCTTCTTCCGTTCTTCCTAAATCTGGAGTTTGCTTTAACACTAGGGTAGCGAGTGGCTTTCTAAGGGCTCTCTTTGCTCCTTGTGCCACTCCCTCATTCCACAGGGCTGCTGGCACAAGCAAAGAAGGTTCAGCCTGGCTGCGGCACCTTGAGTGCTGTAGAGCATGAGGGGATTGGAATAACTGATGAGTACAAGCTACACTGGTTTGTTTGGGAAGGTGGATACATACCTCTTGAAACAGTGCGCTGCTGTAAGAACCCAGCAGCTACTCAGGAGCGTAGCCCCGCAGAGGAGCCTGCCATCTCTATGGGATGACTTCAGCCGGAGGGAAACCTGCCAAGGCCAACCACCCCTAAGAAGAAAATGAGCTACACATCAACATCAGTAAAAGGCAATAAAGCAAAGGAAAGCACTGGTTAAAGCAACGGCTTTAGTAACTTTAATGTCTTGCAGGTGGGGGAAAAGGAAAGCAAAAGCAACTCCCTTCCTACTTTGAGAAGGCGACCCCACAGCTCTGAACAGGCCTGGAATCAACAACTCTGAAGATGGGCCTATAGACATTTGTATGGATCCCACCTATCTGATACTCTATCTGACAAGCTGTCTTCTTTATATTTCATTATTTAAAACGCAATTTTTCTCTTCTCTGTGCCTCACCTATACAGTCTGAAGAAGTATTTAATAAAACCTGGGTTTTCCTTTAGTAAATTCTACAAAGAAAAAATTTAGATTAAACTGAGTTAAGCCTGAAACAAATACATTCTAACTTAGATATATCTTTGTAGTTATACACATCTCCAGGTCTCCTGTTAAACTGTTTTGTTTCTGACATATAACTTTGCAGTAACACATCTAATCTCTTAAATCAGGCTGGTGATATAAGAACATGGCCTAAAAACATAGGTCAAAGGACAGTGAAATTTGAATTTAGTTTAGAAAATAAAATGAGTATAAGTCCCTTATGTGATAATAGAACATCCTCAATTTGTAACACTCTGTGTATAAAAATAATTTTATAATATAAAAAAATCTCTTTTGAAGAAACTTTTACCTTAAAGAATTTTTCCCCCCAATGATCCGCTTCTGCCGACGGTGCAGTAATCTCAAGCCACAAACAGATGAGAGGGACTCTGAAGCAGAAACGGGTCATTAATTAAGCTATCACATTGCTGATGGAGGGGTAAGACGGTAAGTGGCATACTCCACTGATGCTCCCTCCTCTATGTCAAAATGCCTTTTCTCTGCAAATTAAAATTTTTCTTGTAACAAAAATAGTTTATAATTTGACTAAATGACAATTTATAAGTAGATAAGTAACATTATGAGGTTTCCCATTTTTCACCTCTGAGGGGTTCATGGGCTGCTGACTGGTTTGGCTCTGTTCAGTACTTTATCCTGATAGGTACCTGTATCTCCTGCTGCTGCTATTTTGTGTAATGTATGGAACAAAATACATAGAACATTAAACAAAATAAGAGAACTGCAAAGACAGTAATGACCTAAATTACTTACTTTCTACCGGCAACACTGTTCTAAGCCGCATATAAAAATGTAACTCAGAAGAGCAAAGCACATTCCCAGGCCAGAATTCTGATCGGAATTTACATTTACTTAGCTTGATAACATACAGAAAGGGTTTGCTAAGCCAATTTAAGTGGAAAACTATGGTTAAGGGTATACAGGCAAACCTCCCAAGGTAACACACTTTTGTCAAGAACATACAAAGAGAAGAATTAAATTAAAAATATATGAAAAGGTGGTATATGAAGAAAGGTAAATATAACAGGTATGACTCATTTTTAAAATATCTGAGAAAACAGGATAATTTACATAGTGGTACTTTATTTCTTTGGTTAAATATATGCATGTAAAGTATAGATATGTACTGTTTTTCTATCCAAGAGGAGGAGAGTAGGAATTATGCCAAAAACAGGAAGACCTAATCAACACTAATGGCCTCCAATAATAACCAGGTAGAAGGGAACCTAATAGGGAATCAGCAATAGTTATTTCTTGATTGAGAAAGAGGTTCAACAATGTGTACCCAAATGATTAATTTGCCAAATGATCTCAGAGGTGTGCTGTCAAACTTTAACCTTCATCTCTTAGAATATGAGTCCTCTAGGTGACACTGCAAATTAAAAGATATTAGAAAAAACATAAGTTTCCAATAATGTTCCAAGTTGGGTCAATGTATATGATGCCAAGAAAAGGAATGATGTAATATTTAAAGCAAGCAAAACTTAAAGTTTACATCATTCTGGGGCAAAGCACCAGACTACAAGAAAGCAAACTCTATTTAAAGTCATACACTATTATTTAAAAATTTTAGGCCCGGCGCGGTGGCTCAAGCCTGTAAACCCAGCACTTTGGGAGGCCGAGGCGGGTGGATCACGAGGTTAAGAGATCGAGACCATCCTGGTCAACATGGTGAAACCCCGTCTCTACTAAAGGTACAAAAAATTAGCTGGGCATGGTGGCGTGTGCCTGTAATCCCAGCTACTTGGGAGGCTGAGGCAGGAGAATTGCCTGAACCCAGGAGGCAGAGGTTGCAGTGAGCCGAGATTGCGCCATTGCACTCCAGCCTGGGTAACAAGAGCGAAACTCCGCCTCAAAAAAAAAAAAAAAAATTTTTAAAAGCAAACTGAAGTTCATTTATAAAAGGAGTTCATCAGATGACCAACAACCAATGGCTTCAGTTTGAATCACCTTATAGATGTCACCAGATCCTGCGTGTGATCATAAAATTGTCTGGTTAGTAAGCCAGATTCTGTAATCTGGCCAGTCTAAGATGAAATCTTTTTACTTAAAGTATGGTAGCATTATCATGACCATGGAAAGGTATCAAAAAGAGAACTGCTATAATTCTAGGAAGACATTAAACACAAACATATAATGAAATTTTTATGTTTTTCAACTACTTACAGATTTCATATAATCCAAAGAATCACTTATATTCTATTTGTAATGGTAATTTAAATTATTGAAGGGAATTTAGTAAATTAAGTTATAATCAGTATTCAGGGGGAAAAGGCTGGCCAAGTCATTTGCTTATACACAGATATCTATACACACACTTATATATACACACATATTCATATATAAAAATGTACACATATATATTTAATATATATGTGAATAGAAAATAAAGCACAAAGGATTGTAAGTGTTCTTTCCATACTCAAATGCCCCTCAGATAGCAAAGAATCATCTTAACGGCATCCAATTCATTTATTTCATTGTCTTTGGCAGTTATTACAAGGTGTTAGAAAAAGAGAGTGCTCAAATATATGTGCACCTGATTTTAACAAAATCCAGTGTATCAGAACTATAAATTTTCAATCAGAAAGAGGTGACTGTTCTTTTCATAAAATGTACCACAAATTTCTCCAAAATAGCTCATTTTCTCACTCAGTTATTTAAAGAAGTATTTGTTTCATAAAAATTAAACATGCAGAGCACAGTGGCTCACGCCTGTAATCCCAGCACTTTGGGAGGCCGAGGAGGGCAAACCACCTGAGGTCAGGAGTTCAAGACCAGCCTGGACAACATGGTGATACCGGGTCTCTATTAAAAATACAAAAGTAGCTGGGTATGGTGGTGGGTGCCTGCAATCCCAGCTACTCAGGAGGCTGAGGTAGAAGAATTGCTTGAACCCGGGAAGCAGAGGTTGCAGTGAGCTGAGATCATGCCACTGCACTCCAGCCTAGGTGACGGAGCAAGACTCTGTCTCAAAAAAAAAAAAAAAATTAAATATACCCAAGCTTTCAGGAACTCTATTCATTTAAAGTATGAAACATTATCATACAAAAGGATTACTTACCATTTTCCTTAAATTTTTTAATTTCAGATAATACAATCTACAAAAGATAATTTTCTTTTTGAAAATCATGTTTTAAATTATCCCCGTTTAAAATACGAGTAAGACTTTAGAAATGCCTTTAATTCATTTCTATATTTTCATTTCTTTCCTTTTTATGAAGTAAATATCAATTCTGACTCTTCAAAGATAGCAACAAGCACAAGAGCTTTATTTCATCTAAAAAAGGAAATACAGAAATGGCTACAAAGGTGAAAAGGGGACGATCCAGGAGATTACAAGGCCCTGTAAATCCACTCCTACCCCTGAACATTGTTCTCCCTCTTAGCCCCACCTAAGCAAGTTTGTCAAGAACTACTGGCTCTAAGTATGCACAAGACATGGGACTGTATGCATTCTTGTTGTACTGGATTTCTGTTATCAAGGTACTGCCTCTAGTCATAGAGAGGGAATTATTATTCTTTGACTTGTTTACGGCTCCAGAAGGTGACTTACCTTTATTACTGTTACCTGAGGCCTTCTTGCCAAAATAATCACAAATAACTCCTGCATCTTCACTGTGGCGGCAGTTGTGTCTTCCAATGTCTTGCTTGATACAGTCAGCCAAGGACCTCTCATTTCCTGTGCACTTCACATTATCCACATGGATGGGTCCTTTTCCTTCTCCAAAATAAGCCATGGTTCTTGCTCTGGCAGGACCCCTGAAGACAGAACATTCTTAATGATGTGAAGAATCAGTCAATCCTATATCTGAATAAATCACAACATATACTCATATTCAATTTTATTCCTTAATTTTTACATCTTAAAATTGGTGCCTGCATGTGCTAAAAACCATTTGTTTCCTGACTGTTAAAAAAGTTAAATAAGAAAGATAATAACTATAACTTCTTTGTTGCCATACTCCACAGCTACTTTATTATATCACTGGCCTCTAATTTAGCTTTGGCTAAGAAACTCACGTATAATGGTACATCAAAAATTCATGATAGTCTTTAACTCTCGTTTAAGCAGGAAAAAAATCACCTTTAAATTTTCTGCCTTCTTAAAGAGGAGTATTGCGAAGAAAACAATGAGATTAAATAATAACCTACAGAGCTAAGAACTAATTTTTTGCCTCCTTTAGAAGAAAAAAGTAGTTTTTTAGGCTGGGCATGGTGGCTCCCATCTGAAATCCCAGTACTTTGAAAGGCCGAGGCAGGTGGATCACCTGAGGTCAAGAGTTTGAGACAAGCCTGGCTTACATGGAGAAATGCTGTTTCTACTAAAAATACAAAAAATTAGCTGAGCATGGTGGTAGGTATCTGTAATCCCAGCTACTCAGGAGGCTAAGGCAGGAGAATCACTTGAACCCAGGAGGTGGAGGTTGCAGTGAGCCAAGATCACACCATTGCACTCCAGCTTGGGCAACAAAAGTGAAACTACATCTCACACACACACACACACACACACACACACAAATTAGCTGGGCATGATGGTGGGTGGGTGCCTGTAATTCCAGCTACTCAGGAAGCTGAGGCAGGAGAATGGCTTGAACCCGGGAGGCAGAGGTTGCAGTGAACTGAGATCACACCATTGCACTCCAGCCTGGGTGACAGAGTGAGACTTGGTCTCAAAAAACAAAAAAAAAAGTACTATCTCTCTCTCTCTCTCTATGTGTATACATATATACGTATATACACGTATATACATATCTACACATATATATGTATATATCCGTATATATGTATTTGTTGTTGTTGTGTTTTAAAACAAGGTCTCATTTTGTCACCCAGGCTGGAGTGCAGTGGTGTGATCTCGACTCACTGCAGGCTTGACCTCTTGGGCTCAAGAGAACCTTTCAGCTCATCCCCACAAGTAGCTGGGACTACAGGTGCATGCCACCATGCCTGGCTAATTTGTTTGTATTTATAGTAGAAATGGGGTTTCACCATGTTGCCCAGGCTAATCTCGAACTCCTGACCTCAAGCGATCCACCCAACTTGGCCTCTCAAAGTGCTAGGATTACAGGAGTAAGCTACTGCACCCAGCCTAAAAGTAACATTTTTAACAGAGACAGAGAAAAACAGGACTCATGACTAGATGGCAGACTTACTTTTGGTATATTACTATTTTTCTGTTTTAATAATACATTTTAAAGTATGCAAATACAAAAATATTTAAATGAAATATTTCCTATGCCATATTTAGAGCTCAATTCCTGATAAATTAATGAAATAGTCATTAAAATCAAAAGTTTTAAGTATGAATTATTGGAAAACTCCTTGAAACCTCAAGTTAGGAAAAAAATTAAGTGGACATAGAGGGTATAAACTATAAATTTTAAAATTGATAAACTTAACAAAAATTAAATTCAGAATGTAGCTTTACTAAAAACTACCCTATGGAACATGAAAAGATAAATTTTAATGTCGATATTTGTAGAAATATATTTTTTGGTGAATATACTTTCTAGTGGAGAAGAATAGCATACAATATACAAAAAAAAGTCATTTAAAATATAAGTAATCTGTTTTTAACAAAGCTCTAGGCAATTCTTCTGTAGATAGTTGAGCATCAAACTTTGGCAAAGAAAGCTAAGTTATTTCTCCACTGTTGCACATGTGTTTTAAAATTATTAGATTTCTTAAAATTATATATGCATAAATCTTTGTGGGCAGCTTAGATTTCTTCTTAGAAGTTTTATTCTATTTTTTCTATTTTTTAATTTATTTCTTATTTATTGTATTACTTTTTAAAATTGTATGTATTTATCATCTGTCTGAAATTTATTTCTGTTTAGTATTAGTAAGAAATCTAGCTTTATTTTTGTCCCTAAAGTATTTGTCCCAGTAACTTTTTCTGCTGATTTGAAAGGCTTTCTTATTTATCATGCTATGTGTGCACATGCTATTTCTTGGTCTTTATAGTTCTGTAATTTACAACCATCGCTACCCCTTAGAATTGCCTTTGGAAACATTTAAGATATAGCAAAACTTGAACCTCACCTCAGATCAATTAAAGTAGAATGGTTAGTATTTTTTTAAGTTCTAAAGTGATTTCAATCTATAACCAAGGTTGACAGCTGCTGCTGTAGTTGTGTCTTTTGACTATTCCTGTGCCAGTGCCACATGGATTTTATTTCAGATGAATTTTGAAGTCAGATCTCTCTCCTCACCCCACATGCACACCAAGAAAACAGAAAGATTTTTTCTAGCATAGCATTTAATGTATAAATTTATTTCTATTTTGTCTTCACATTCAGGATTTCGGTAAGTCTATTCATTGATAAGGTCTTCTAGCTTTAGCAAAGACTAAGTTTTTCACATAGGTCTCAATTCTTACAAAGTGTATTCCTAGTTTTTGTTTTGTTGTTAGTTTTTGTAACTTCTATAAATCTCTCTTTCATTTTCTGTTTATCCATAGGCAGACCTTTGCTTTTAAAGTTTATCTTGATACATTAATAAACACTAGTTCTGGTGTCTTTCCAGTTGATTCTCAAGGGTTTTCAAACAATCCTATTATTCATATAAATATTCTGACCTTTCCTTTTCAATACTGATACCTCAATTCTTAATGCTTTAGTGCAACCCCCAAACGATGCTGTCATTGCAGTAATAGCAGGCACTCTTGTTCCTATTTGATGCTTACTTGTGATCTATAATTAAAAGTTTCATTTTATTCTCAGCTGCCTAAGAGATCTGAGGAAGGAATGTTGATTTTATCATATAACGTTTCAGCATTATTAAGATGATCATATTTGTTTAATCGTTTATTAAAATGATTGTATATTTATGGGTGTCACATTGAAAATTACATTAAGTGAATGCCTCAGTTTGAATCACTTACATTCCTACAACAGACTCCACTTATCTGCTCTTTTAATACACTATCAGATTAAATTTGCTAATATTTTATTAGCAAAATAACTTGGTATGTACATTCATGAGATTGAGGTATAGTTTTCTTTTTCATGTGTTTACTTACCTAGTCTTGAAATCAATTTAAATTAGCCTCATAAAATGAATGGAAACATTTACACATGTTTCTTGGCTCTGCAACAATTCATATAATTCAGAAACTCTCTCTTAAGAACTGGTGAAAAGTTTAGTAAAAAAATTCAGTCATTTCTTCCCCAGCCATTAATCTAATTGGGTTTTCTATCTCTTGTATCAATTTTGGAAAATTATATTTTTGTTGAAAATGTAATTTCCCCAGATAATCATCCATTTCATCTAGATTTTCAAGTGTATTTCCTAAAAGTAGTTCATATTATTAAGCATTTTGTTGTTGTTGTTTTGAGATGAGATCTCACTCTGTTGCCCAGCCTGGAGTACAACAGCACAATCTCGGCTCACTGCAACCTCTGCCTTCTTGGTTCAAGCGATTCTCTTGCCTTAGCCTTCCAAGAGACTGGGATAAGAGGCATGAGCCACCACACCAGCTAATTTTCGTGTTTTTATTACAGACGGGGGGTTTCACCATGTTGGCCAGGCTGGTCTTGAACTCCTGGCCTCAAAAGATCAAACTACCTCTGCTTCCCAAAGTGCCGGGTTTACAGGCATGAGCCAGTGTGCCCAACTGTATTATTAATCTATAAGGGTTTTTGTTTGATTGACCCTCTATGTATCTGTACTTAAATTTCTTTTCTATTCTCTATGTTTACTTGTGTTTCTTTTCTATTCTCTCCTTTTTCTTAGGCAAAATTACCATAATATTGTTGAGATTGTTATTTTATTAATCTTTTTTAAAATAAAAATTATTGCTGATATGTGTAGGTGTAACGTAAAGAGATTTGAAATTCAAACAATTATAATCTGAAGAAAATAAAAACTTAATAGAATTTGGAAACAAAAATTCCAAATGATTCCCAGCAGTTTCAGAGGTGAGAATGGATGGAGGTAGAAAGTAGACAGTATGTTAAATGTCTTTATCTTTTTTAGGGAGGGGAAGTTAAAGATAATATTTTTTGAAATTATTAAGAAAATATATTTCAGCATGTTTGCTAAAAACTCAAAGACAACTTCTAGAAAAACAGTAAGAATGTTGAAGTTCTAGACCACTGAGAAAAAATGAAAACAAAAAATTGAATTAATTGTGCAAATCAAAAAACAGATGATTACACAAGGAACAGAAAATAAAACATGATAAATAACAAAACTAGATGGCAGGTGGAAGTAGACATACAGAAAATAAAATTTAACTAAAGGATCATTTCTTAGCAACTGATCAACTTACAAACTAAATAAACCAAAAGGATCATTTCTTAGCAACTGATCAACTTACAAACTAAAAAAGAAGCACCATTTTAGATGTATCAATAAGTAGAAATTAGAGAATATTTTAACTAATAACAACACATGATTAAAGAAATTCTCATTGAAATAGTGAAATCTAACAAATTTTCTTTTGACTGTTCTTTCTTTAAATAATTAAGAACTCCACCATCTATAGAAAAAAAGGGAAAGGCTTCTCATTGCCTTACTGAATCTAGTAATTCATAACTGAAAATTTCAATGCACAACAGCTTATAATAATTAGTCTTTAAACTGGATGTCAAGTGCTCCTGGTAGATAATAACTTTCCAAGGGATACACAGGCTCTAAAGAAATCAATTTTTATATCCTCAAATTTCATGTATTTTCTTTCTTATAAATAATCTTGCTGGTATCAGGATAAACTTCTTTTTCAAAATTTCTCTTCTTTCACTTCACAAAAAGCA